GTACCAAATCCACCATCAAAGTTATAACATTTCAAAACATATTCAATCGCCCTGTTCACATTGATCACTTCCAAACGATTCTGTGATAAGGCATTGATGATATACAATTACGCACACGCATTAAAATAGTAAGAATACCGCTTACATAAAATAACAATGAACTAACAATCGAAATGAAGACTAACAATAAGATAAAGTGTCGCAATCGCACAAAATGAGAATCGCGTATCAATTTCGTTCGAGCAATCCCCTCCGAAACTTCCATCTTCATTTTGTCGTTCAACAACATATTTCTCAACTCCACTCAAATCCACTTCATTCAATCTATTCAGCATCACTAATATCTGCAAGCAATCTACTGTAATCATATTTGATGAGTGCAAATCAAACGGCAAATTGATCAGAACATGTTGCTATTATGTCACGCTGACCGTAAATAAATTTGAATGATTGATCAGAAAGCTTTTCGAACTCATTAGTGCTTCTCCACGCTGAACCATGCAACAGCGGTCGTTTGATCGGATTTTAAGAGTTTCAGTTATTTCTTTTTTCGATATTTGTGCATTTACTAGAATTCTTCAGTTTTATCTGGCAATGGGCAATACTGAAAACCAGAAGTCCGAGTAGACACAAACAATTAGAAGTGATTGAGAACACAGACAGATGAATGAAATGCTGAACGTATGTTAAGTGCAAAACGCAATCAAATAAAGCATGGCGAAAGACAGTATTAAAAAAGGTCAAAAAAGCAACAAGATGCAATGAAGAGGTCAACTGAAAGCGCATACTGATGAAGTGATGTAGAAATGATTACGATCGGTCTCTTTTAATCTCAATAANGAAGAGGTCAACTGAAAGCGCATACTGATGAAGTGATGTAGAAATGATTACGATCGGTCTCTTTTAATCTCAATAAAAAATGATTGCTAATAGGTTAGCAGCGAAACGATCGAATAAATGCGACGTGTTGAGTAATTAATGAAAAGGTGAACGTGAACAATATTAGTGAGTGAAATGCGAATGCATCCAAATATTATGCAAGCATCGGGTATGCGTTAATGCTTTAATTAATATTTGCGCTAATTAGAAGTGTTTTATGCTCGATTATTGCATCGTCTATCGTTATTCGCTGACGGTCATCTTTTTGACTTCGGAATGGAGATGAAACAACGCCTATCGACAAATCAAACATATTCACACACAATACCACCAGCACATTACTTACATCACATCGGTCACATTAAACGATTAGGGACAGGTGTGTGTATGCGGTTATGTGTTTGTGGATAAATACATATGTGATTACTGAATGTGCCCTACTATGTGGTGGACATCTCTCAGCCGATTTCATTGATCAAGAAAAGTAGAGACGATAATCCGGGCCGCAATCACTCGCTCGTTAATCAAGAATAACTCGCTCGTTAACGAGTAATAAACTGATTCAGTTGGTCACCAACGAGCCTCGGTCACTCATTAACATATTGTTTAATGAAAGAATTACAAAAGTTCAGATATTTATCGCTATCTATCAATTAACGAGTGAATATGCATCCATCACCTGAACAGCAGAAAGTGTATGAAGAAGATGAGCATCGTGTGAGACTGCTGATGCGAATCCACCATTCGGTTGTTGACATTTTTTGATGTAATCGACGATAGCGTTGAGATCATCTAACTCGGATAATTTTCCCATAATATCCATCGCTGTTAAGCACCAATACATTCCACTCATTTGTAAATATTCGGACATTATAAATTCCTCAAACACATCAATTCAAATACATCTTCTAAGAATTCACAATTTCAAATTGATTTTGACATTTTCAACTTAATTAATTACTTGTTGGAATATGGAACATCGAAAGATGCATGCTGGAACGAAACCCAACCGAATGAAAATGACAACAACTCACATAAGATTGTTTGTTCTTTTCATAATTGCTAATGAATTTTGAATGCAGTTCAAGAGTTAGTTGTTTTGGTGCATTTGATGAAATCTCCACATCGTTTCTTGCCAAATTCAAAAACGCATCCATCTCTGAATGAAAATTATTATGGTAGTTGTTTCCTTCGATGAGAGTAAGCCGAATAACGACATGCATTCCATGAGAATTTTGAGGGATGGATGGAATTTGACTGAGTTGAGTTCGACACTTTTCGTCGAAAACAATCGCGACTGTATGCAATCGAGCATGCTGATTAAAGATGATTATGCGAGTAAGATGAATTACGATCACTACAAACTTGAACATTTGAGTTAATATTGATGATTCAGTAACAATTAGATTATGGAAAGCGTATTGAAATGCTACCAGAAAATAATGTACAAGTGGATTAAATTGAGTGGGCACAATGATTGATTTGAAAGTGATGTTTTGTGTGATATATTGAATAATGGCAATAATGTAACGTTATCAGTGAATTATTCTCAACAGAACATTACGTCTATACTGCGGAATGTCCGTGACGATCTGTCGACAGATGGCTCATTTTCGATGAGCATTTAATTACCTATCTAAGAAATCGAGTGGACCGTTGTTCTGCATCAATGTTCAATTTGAATCACATTTCAAACGCCAATAATAACTCATTTTAAAAAATCTGGTATTATTGTCATTTGAAATTTCTTAAGATTTCAACAGCATCATTTTCGTTGGAATACGTCATCAGTGTGCAGTTGTTTTCGAGGAATCTCATGATGAAAAATGAGTGGCTATATGAATGAAGAGGAGATCTGATAAAGTATTTAATAATATTGTCAGATGAAATATCTGATAACATTCAATTTGTGGTGCATAATCAATGCTTAACTGTGCTTTGAGAACTGGACGTTTCAGATGACAAAATATTCAGTTGATTCATTAATGATCAGATGAGTGTTTGGCTAATATACTCTCATGCAACAGTTCTAAAATAGCTTTTGAAAATTGAAGGGTAAAGTGCCCCCAATACATCAACCATATTCGTCTCAGTTTCATTCGCCTCATTTGCTTGAATTGAGCTTAGGCTTAGTTTAAGGCTTATTTCTAGGCTGAATGTTAGGATTGGGCAGGTAAGGCGGCAACTCAAACGAGCGCATCACGATGCCTGATTGAAGGAGCGATTAATTTAGATTCGATGCGAATGGGCGATTTGGATTTTCGTGTACAACAAATCAATTCCGTTTGAAGTTGTTCATAATCCAGACGAACAGATTTTTCAAAAATGTGGTTTGCAATGTTTCTGAAAGAANACTGAGCACTCAAATTCAAAATCGTGCATTTCTTCGCCTCAAACCGAGCCTAATAAGGCATACCTGTACGCTGCGGGAACAGAATTTGAAAACAAAACATTTAAAAAGGCAACGATGACAAACAGCTGCTGAACAAAAGACCATTCGGTACTCAGACGGTGAATCGAATGAAATGAAGAGACAGAGAAGCTGCAATTGCATGAGAAAAACTGCATCTGAAACCACCAAAATGCGTAAAATAATCAGTCGAATGAGACGACTTCCATAGAATTGTCTCGATTCGAAACAGCTGAAGTTATTTTCATGAATGATAAATAACTGCAGATATAATCAATGCATTCATGATAACTGTGTCAGCTGAAACACTCTACGAGTGTATCAATAGATGAGTACATAACTTCAAGCAATACCACTGTTTATACATATCACTTTAATCCCTAAACAAAAATAACAACATGAATCGATGCAAAAATCAGTGCAAAATCATTACAATCAATGTCTCACGATAGGATTACCATCACATATCAATAAAGGAACTGATAAGCGATGATGTTGAGCAATAATTATAATTAAAGCACCAAAAACAAAGATATACAGTACAGTTTCATGATGACTTATCTAGTTTTCTTACAAGAGAAGGTCATGAACTTACCCCAACGTTTCGGGGTGAGACGCATATCATATTGTAGGACTCACTGAGCTGGTTATGAATATGCAAAAATTTTTTGCGGCGGACAAAGGGGACGGAAGATATGGCGGGNAACAACAAGTTTAAAAAATTAGATCATAAATCAACATTGAGATCATAAAATGGCACATCATATCGGCGACATAACTGCGTTAATGATTTAATTCTCTTTTCTAATCGACGAATCCTTTCATTTTTATTCCTCAAAATTTCTTTCAATGATACTATTTCCTCCTTCAAACTATCAACATCATTATTTTGCCCAGGGAAACATTCGATTTTATTGAGCACCTCAAATGCACGCGGACGTTCACTCGGTTCAGACTGACACAGAGACCTGATCAACGAAGACTGAAACAAAATACATCACTCTCTCATAAAACGGATTCTGATAAACTAAATTTATACGGTTACCTCTGATAATTCATACGGTTATCTTGGATAATTTGTACGGTTACACCAACGGATATGAATCGTCCAGAAAGAACTTAATTATTGGTTACTGAACAAACGGTTGAAACGGCTACTGATTCTTTGCTAATATGTGAAATAACCGACTCACTTCATTGGGCCAGTCACTGACGAACTCTTCATCGAAATAACCATCTCGCAAATTCATTATTGCCTTTACACGTTCCATTGCTGTTGTGAACGGTCGATACAACTCATAAAAGACAATCCCTGCACTATAGATATCCACCTAAAAATAACAATGATTCCAAATTGTACTCGTATGTTTTGCTTAGTAATGGCTGAATGAGAGCTGAGAACGGTGAACGAGGATGAAATACAAAACATTTACAGAACAATCGTAATCAGTGGAAGTGAGTTGTTCTGGCGCTGCATATGTGGATGTGCCTACGGCAATGCTGTGTTGCATATCAGTTCGACGTGACGACTTGTTTGTTGGTGCGATAAATACTGATGATGAACGTTCAATTGTGGCATCGCACTCGTCAACGACACTCATATCATCGCACGATTTCGTTGCGATCGTTTCAAATCGATTCAAATCATTACATGCCAATCCGAAATCACCAATAAGTACTCGTATTTGTGAGCATAATGGTGATGAAGATGCAGCTGATGACTGCGTTTTTTGATCACGCAGAAATATATTACACGGCTATAACTCACTGATATTATTTGAAAACTCAATCAATCAACTAAACAGTAACATTCTTGCCTATTACGGACTTACTTGTTTGTTTAAATATTGGATGGGAATAAAAATTAAGGTGATGGATCACTCGGAATGATGAAATATATGATGAATGAAAAGTGCACATCAACAATAACTTAAATATCGTATTCGTATAAATAACTGACTCACTTTAATATCACGATGGATAATATTTTTCGAATGTATATAGTTTAATGCCGAGAATAACTGTTTTAGAACAGAAATGTTAAAATCACAATCAACTTTTCTATGAGTTACACCTGAAAATTTATAAGTATTCGTTAAGAGACTCTGTTGCAGTTTCATCAACAAAGCAGTGCTTCTTTATATATATACACATGTGAACATGTACTTGTCAACAATTCACTGCATCCAATGAAAACACCAACAAAATGTATTTCATCAAAATAACGAACTTGAATTGCGAAATTCAATATAATCATTAAGTGTACGAGAGCACAATTCCATTTGTACGAACATCGTCGCTTCATTCTGCAATATCTTAATGAATTAGGAAATACAAACAAAAAAAGAATGTGAACAGACGCTTATTTGCTAAATGAGGACAGAACTTGTACAGAAATGACTTACAGGAAAGCTATTTCGTTGAATTTGATTCCTCCTTGGCGACAGTGACCGTTGAATAGCAAGTACCCGACTGTTGCTCTTGATACTATTATCAGAGCTATTGTTAGTGTTATCAGTTGAATTCGTAGGTGACAGGTGATGAAAAGAAGACGTAGAAGATGATGCAAGTGTGGACGGGATTGAAGATTTTGAAGAAGATACTTTATTAGACCAAAATTTACTTGGAACTCTTTTTGCTTCAGCATTCTTCAAAGATGCTGATTGCTGCCATGATTCTGTCTGGAAATCAATGTAATATTTCATTCAATCCAGAAGTATGAAAAAAAGTCATGCCGAATGAAACTGTTTCTGATTAAATACTCATACTAACAGGATGGACGACGAACTCAGTCACTCATGATGATGAAAACAATAATAAAAATGATGACAATAATGATAGAACTACTGTTAATATCCATATCAATATCGTCGAACAATTTATGAATTGCAGTGGAACACTGAAAGCTGAAGCGAAAGAACAATGAGAATGCACACTCTACCTCACTCGTATCTTCGAGCGCATCCTTCAAGGGGTGGATGCGCTCACTCGTACCTTCAAGCACGTCCTCGCACCGACAACATCGTGATTTGATCTGTTTTATTTCCTTACAACAATCTCCCTCTTCTTCTGCACTGCTATTCTCATCGAGCATTAACAATCGAGCTGCGTGTTGGCTTTCTGTTTCCGAACAATTTCTGCAATCAGTCAAAAATCAATGCAAAATTATTCGTGACATATTACTCGTTATCAAACGAATAAAACGAATTCAAACAACTGATGCGTATAGCAATAAGAATAAATAGTAAATTTGGCAGAAAATTCAATAATTTATTTACCTGACTTCTCGAATATTTACATTGGGAGAGGGGAGTAACGGTGTTTGCATCGAGTTAATTTCAGCCCATGCACCGAAATATCGAACGATATTCGCGTGTTGCAACGATGCTAACAATCGAACTTCATTTATTACCTTCAATTTAGTTGGATTACGTTTCAAGAATTGACTGATTTACTGATAACAATGAATGTTACTGTTCATTACAATTAAATGGCTAATTGAAAAGCAACGAGAAATTATTGAAGGAACTTCGAAAAAGCGGAAAGAATGTTTCACTCACTTTCAACATCTGAGAATTTCGGGCCAAAGAGAACGGAATCTTCTTTATCGCATAATTACAATTATCGATTCGAGAACGCACCTTAACCTTAGCTATATATTTATTCAAACTTCTCATGGCAAATGAACGGTCACGGTTTCAATAATGATGGTTACATGACTTTATGGTCTCACATTGATTCTATGATCGCAACAATCATTATTATGTGCATAGCAACAGTAATAATAACAACAACAATATAACTCTTGCAGTTGAAATAGTCGACGTATCAAAATTAGTTTTGAAAGAAAAAATACAACAGAATTAACCAGAAAAACGGTTCCGAATCCTCCTTTGCCTATCATTCGAATCTCTTCGAAATCACTACGATAGCGACTGTGAAAAAACAAATTTGCGGCAGAATCTCGGAACGACAATCTGGAAAATGTTTGCAATTCGTGAGTAGAAAGTCTTAAAAACGTCTCTGATACAAACAAATAGTTCGAATGATAAGCGTACGAATGACGTGAAGAAATAAATAATTCTCCGCGTTCTTCAACGGATAAGAAGACTTTTTTGAATGAAAATGAAATGGAAGAAGTTGAATGAAACTAACGGATTTTCCATATTCGCTGAAAGATTGAAATTGTTGCTAACCAATTGTGCGATTCGACTCACAAACGCTGATCGCAAAGGAATTAAATCGTCCGATAAATATGCAGCCGGAATGAGTCGACATTGAATTACCGTACGATTCAAAACTGAAAATTATGTTCTGCCGATTAATGAAATATCCTTCAAATCCCTAACTGTGAGCTAATCCGATAAAATTCGCGTGTATTGGCGCCAACAAGACGCGGTCCACAGTAGTGTTCGTCCCGTCGGGAAACGAAGTGGACGGGGAGGGACCCCGACGGACACTAGTTCACAGTGACCACTGACAGATGGCCATTCAGTGATGCATAGATCGCTATTTGAAGTTAAAGAATTAAATGCATTAATGAGAGTGTGTCCATCTTATCTACTCAATTTTCACCTCTGAATGCATAATGCATATTGTTAGAAATCAAAAAGACACCTAATTCCGATAAACCTTCAAAAAAGCTGATAAACCGTCGTATGTCAGCCATAAGCGATTATCATGAACGATGAGATGAACGAATAAACATCGAAACAAAACAAAACAAGCATTACATTACCACTTCTAAGTTGTTCTCTCGTTTCCTTCGGTACAGCTTCACACATCAGATCGATGAATGCAGCAAAAACAATTTGCAATATGCGTTGTTTGTTTGAAGTGGCCGCAGTAAGACCCGTTTCATGTGCAGTTTTGTGACGATCGTTACATTCTATTCGACGTAACACCAACGAATTTTGCGCATCACCTTCAATTGTGACTGTTTCAGAGATTGACCAGCATCTGAACGAACACAAATCACATAAATGAAAACGTTTCTTCACCTGCATATTCAACAGCCAATGGCGGTGATCCCAGAAATTCATCAACTTGTTCTGCCCAAGTGCAATCCGATTTAGACTTATCGTCAGCATCGCTATCAGATACCAAACCCATACGCCTTCCTCGAGAACAATTCCCTTCTACAAAAACGATTGTTTCATTGCAAAAAAAAAGACATCAACACGTTCAACATCTAATCGATTCATTTCTCCAATTGTTAACTGATCATACAATTGCTCAAACTAATCATCTCTTAGCTGTAAACAGATTGAAATTTTAAAAAAATTCTCGGTGAAAAGAGTTCTGCAATTATATGAAAACAAATGAGAGTGGAATTTGATGCCAAACGATACGTCTCTAATTTTTTCGCCGTTCATAAGAACAGTCTGAATAAGTGATAACTTCAGTATAATGATGATAAGTGAACAAAGACGAAATGAGTTGTCCTAAGTATGAAGATATAAAATAATAAGTGGAATGAAATGAACCAAAAAAGCATCGATCACTAACAACCCATTCTGATGCATTTATTTGATAATGTACAAAACGAATCATCAACACTGCCAACGAAAATAGAAATCTCAAAATCAGTACATGAATATACACTCTAACAATACTCCATACAACTACCAATACTTCATTGTCAATTACAAATAAAAAATAAGATTTGCAATCATCAGAATAAGACTATGATACAGTTCTGTGATAGAGCATATCGACTATACAATCGGGACGCATTTTCACAGCAGCAAAATTTATATTGATTCGGTGATGANGAACAATAACTTCCCTTTCGAGCAAACCACGTCAACAATCTTGAGTGTACAATTGCAATACTTTAATTAATGTGCAATTTAACAACATACTCGAATGAGGAAAAACTTAATGAAATTTAAACGAAAGCGATGCCAATAATGATAGATGTTCAAAAATTAATATTGTTTATTTCAAAATTATCCTCTAATAGAACGTTTCGTAAAGATCGGGTGAACAAAGTATAAAATTTTCAATAGGTAAAGCTGATATTGATTTCAGTTTCTTTCAGAAAAATGAATAATGTAATAATGATCGCCAATTAGTAATCACACGATCCATCCTTCCAACCATCCAACCATCGTTCCTTCCATTTTGAACAATCAAATTGTTCCTTTCCAAGTTTTTCGCTGACCCGATTATGCATTTCACACATATATCTCGAGAACACCTCACGGCTATCCACTCTTGGTGGATACTTGCCCAAATCTTTACGTAAACCTTCTGCACATGGCGCACATGGATACAGCTGAATTTCGTTGATTATTATCAACTGATTACGTCTTATTGCGTTAAACTATTCTTTTATTTCATTCTTTTACTACTTATTCGAATTTGTTTACTTGAAAAGCTCACTCTAGAAGTTGACTTTAGCGCTTTTTACATTCTGATAGACTCGATATGTAAAGACCTGAATGAAATTCACCGTGCATCCAAAAAAATTCATTTTACGGGCGGTGAATGCCTAAAAACAACGAGCAACGATCAAATCAAGAACGACGTTTCATCGAACCGTGAAGGTGTTCACCAGTTACGATCACATAACACTCAGTGATCAGTGCAACAGAAATAATCACTCATTCATGTGCACTCGGAATTTGCGAACCGAGATCGATAAGGTTTACCTTTCCCAATAAATTCATCATCGTTCGAGCATTATTCTTCTCCTCTTCAGATGGACGTTCCGGATAATACGCCGCCATTGTATGCAGAAAATTCCACGTTGATTTTCCCAGCTGCTCAGTGTCTAAGGGGCAATCCGCTCTTATTGTCGTCTTTTGCGCGCGATTTTCCTGAAATTGACCATTATTAATAGCATTATCACCATAGCACTCATCGACTCATCTGATGATTGCGTTCAGAAATGAATTCATCGAATAACTCTTCGAGTCCTCACACTCACCGTCGTTCGATTCGAGATTTGAATGAATAAATCGGGTGAAAACCAATGGTTAATCGCGTACAGAATTTGCATTTGAAACGACCAAATATTGCTGATTAACAGACAAAAACATTGGAATTGTGGAATGGATACAATAAAAGTTGCTGAATACCAAATGAATGATACGAACATTTTCTTGCTCCTTACTCGCACCGCTGTGATTTTGCTCAATAGATGAAGATGGTTGGTTCGTATGGTCAGTATGACGGTCACCACTCTCCGAGGTCGTTTTCGACTTTAATTTCCGCGACATTTCGCGCGCACGTTTCATCAATTCCTCAACACTCAGACATGCCCGACAGTGCTTATCAACCGATTCTCTTGCTGATTCCATCGTGACTTTGTTCGATACTCGTACATCTATCTGAATATAGTCACTTCGCTTCATTCACTTATTCAATTGACCATCGAAAGCAAAAACGTTCGACATAGTGCAGACTGGGTTTGGGTGGGGTAGAGTTCGCGGAGTTTCGATCACTTAAGAGATCCCGATCACCCCACCCCATCCTGACTTCATCTCTCTCCCCCCCGACCCAGACTATTTACACGCTCGTAACCGACAACCTAATTTCAATTACCACCTCATAAGGTGAGAGTGGGCACTGCTTTCAATTATTTTACTAGATTTTCTTCAACTTCAAGTGAACGACTGGTTGATCTTGAAACTAATATTGTTGCGGTAATTTAATTATTTGAACAGAATGCGACAAGAAGACAACTCAGGAAATTCACACACAGAAAACTGGATGAGAACGTATCGCTTCACCTATGGTTACAGTATAGATTCACTGTTGGTCAACAACAAACAAACAAATGGATTCGATTAACCACTATTTCATAGATGCATATATCAAATATGAATTTCACGAAAAAAAAACATGAATCTTTATTACCAACAAATTTGATGATGAAGTTGTCAAAATAATCAACGTTTAAATCAGAACGATATTTACGAATAACAGTATAATCGAACATAAATCGCAACAATAGGAGAAGGTTGACGAAGATAGACAGACCTATCATCAGATCACAGTTATCAGACTCCGGCTTAGGATCAGGCGTAAATTTCTGTATGAGGGTATGTTTTGGTACGTTCATATTTTTGGACAACAAAAAGACACATCGATTAAATGAATCAATTGTTCAGAAGTAATCACAACAAATCTCAATGAACACAACAATAACGAATCAATCGCTCTCTCGTTGCACACATTAACAACATCAGGAGTGAGCATAATTGAATATCAATTCAAAACAATTTATGAAGTATTAAAATCACAACAAGAATTATTTGAATCGCCTCGAGCTTAAGTCGGAATAATCTAATCTTGTTAACATTTACACACAATATCACAGATAAATTCATTTCATAAATTTTCAAACCACTCGTGAAAATAAACTTTCGGACACATTAAAACTGAATTCTGAAGTGTGATTCAACTATCGGCGAAACACTACTTCAGTCTTCAGTGCGAATAAGTCGTCTGGAGAGAATCAGACGGTTATGCTGGGTTGTTTTTTTCCGAATCGCAGGAGCATTCCCGTTTGTTTAAAACTTTTAAATGAGTTTCCACCTTAAACCTCAGAAATGAAAAAAAATTGTTAAATTTGATAATTAAGAAAAGGGATGATTAAAAAAAAAAACAGCCACTGTGAGTTTAACCACTCAAATATACTAATTTGAATGCAGAATTACAAAGAAAAAGAATGTAGAATAAACATTCAAATTGATGTAAGCTAAAGCAGAATCAGGAATTGCCTTTAGCTATTATGAACAATTCAACATTTCACTTAATTTACAACGATTCACATTGAGTGATGACAAACGACACATAATATTTGAATTATTATTAAATCGAAATTATCAAATTACTGTAATATTTTATAAATTATAAAATTGTCAAAAAAATAACCGTAATCAAATTTAAATTGTAATTATTTGAATCGAAAATTTTCTTGCTTATTGTTAGCTGAATCAACGAAATTGGCACAACAACGTGTTCAAAATTCAGTTACTTTAAAACTGTAATCATACAAAAACCAGTCACAACAAGCTATTCCCAAATCAGACAAACGAACACGATGACGATTGCTCGAGCGAGAAGGCGTGCAACTACAAAATCCACTTCCTAAACACTATGAAATTTCATCCCACATTATGGCCATCCGTCTTTCAAAGAGTGCAAAGCAGAAGAAGAACCAAAAAGTTTAGAAGTGTAACTAACTGCAAAGGAATGAATGAGCCCAAAGAAACATCACTAAAATAACTCTAAATGCAGTCATCAACTCAACCGGCTGTCGTGTTTAGTGTGGTCTCGTTGAAATTGAAGACGAGCAACGTTCATTATCGCCCACACCACCACTCAAACTACACGAATCTTGATCAGTTGTTGACAAATGATCATCCAGGCCATCGACCGACGAATGCGGTGATCGTAAGATCTCATGAATATGATGCAATATCAAATCAATTGCCACTTCGTTATCTACACCCCTCGGGATCACCACATCAGCATACTTCTTCGTCGGTAAACAAAACTCTTCGAACGCTGGCTTCACTGAATGTAGATATTGATGTAACACCTGCAACTTTAATTGTTGTTACCATTTTATTCTTAAAGTCATTCATAACATTTCTCATTTACTCTTCATTGTAACCATTCACACATCGTTTTTATAAGATTAACTTTGTTCACATGAATGAAATACCTGCATAAATTCACCAATCATTCTCAATCGAACAGAAGCGTTTTCATGTATGCAAATCAAATAAAGAGAACAAATTCCCTTCAATAATTCGAATCATAAATTCCGATTATTCCAAGCAATTACTCATATATCCACTGGACCGTTTCAACATTACAAATTTAAAAACGAACGAAAATAAACCAGCCTGTTTAAGACTTCGACCTCGTTCGCATGTATCTCGCATCAATCTACGCGCTAGGCGATCATCTGAATCCGCGTCAACGAATAGTTTCATATCGAAAAGTTTTCGTAGTGATTTCTCATAGAATATTAAGATTCCTTCAACCAAAATCACATCGGCTGGCTCGATCAACGTGTATTCATCTTTCACTCTTAAATCAATTTATTTTAACTCATTGTAACTAGCTCATTCATCTGACAAAATGGAATTTACAATGACTAATCTCTTCCTATCGGAATATGTAACGTTCGCTTAGATGAGCGAACGTTATAAATTTGGATGAATGGCAGCACTGAAATTTACAGAATACTTATTTTATTGAGCGATCACTAATAGTTTACGATGAATATTGCTTTATTGAATTGATCGTGAGAAGATTTCTACTTCGTTGATTGACTATATAAAAATTGGAAACCTATAATATATTCCTCTAAAAATAAATGAATTTATGAACAAAATAACACAGAAATAAATACCTAGTGTTTTGAACAAAGTCATACTTCGGTACTTTGACAGCTTCACCTTTACGTAATTTGTTGAGGAGCGACAGCATCAGAGTATGTTCGAACGCATCTGTAATTAATTCATCGCAATCGAATACCTTTCTTTTCTTCTACAACACATAATGCAGAAGTCGTAGGAACTATGTCGGGATTCTTTTGTGAGATGCCTTCAACAAACATCTGATTCTTCTGAAACCAGAGGGCAATAGTACAGAAAGCTATCGAAATGTGATCAAAAAGGCTCAAAAAAGGCCCAGAAAATATCTTCCTATTAGAATTTTACTTGAAACAACGCTTATTATTAGTTTTAATTTAAAGCGAGAAGAATCTCCGCTGACCTATTACATTACCATTTAATATTATCATATTTATAATGTCTTTTGTTGTTGCTTAGAAACACTGCAAATATAAGAAATCAAAAAGACTGGAATGACTGAAAAGAGAGATATATCAATGAACATATTGCAATCCCGAACTTTCCTCACCTGGGTGATCAAAATTGAAATCACCACGTTTAGCCCGAAGACCTTCTTCCTCGGTGAGATCACGATAAAATGAATCTTGAGATATCGCAACCACCCTCCTTTTGTGCTCCTTTCCCAAACGTTCAATAATACGTGCACATACTGATGACTTAAGTTTAATCTCATTCAATATTTATCTAATGATAAATATTGAATTGATAATTAGAATAACAAAGACAATGATGTCACTGATCATGAAAATGATTAAATGGTAATACGAGAAGAACGCAATGCGGATCAACTAAATTGTAATGAGAAATCGCTTAGACCGAGCGTGTTCACAAGTCTTTTCTGAGATGAAAATAAACGAGCTTCCTTCAAATGAAAAGGAAGTGGAATGATGCAGTGAAGAACTAACGAGACGACGATACATGCTGTATGCATAAATACTCTAAATTAAGTGTACCTAAACAGAATCAATCTCGCATTTATCATTAAATCAACGAACCTTGCCCGACGCAGTACCACCGGCCACACCAATTATAAACGGTAATCGTGTTGGTTGCATTCTTCACTGATGCCGGTTCATATACAATTATTTATTTACCTTAACAAACCAACTTCTACATTCACAACTAATGTCGCTAGTTTCGAGATACGTTTGCGGGGTGATTTTTGTTCGTTGTAGAACGATAATGAATCAATTGATCTTGAATATGAATGCATCTAACTATTCATTTTGCGAATGGTTAAAAAATCAGAACCTTGACAAAAGCTAATATATGTCACGAAATTGATACGTAGAGGCGATCGATACACAACACACATCCGTCTTTAAGATGCTTTATGATCATTCGTGATGATCCAGAGCTATGCATGTGTAAACAAAAGACGACCGCTACGGTATGTTAAACGAACCGTATACAGTCGTACATTTACTGTTTGATGCGCTCTCGATATCAAGTGAACAATTGAACAAACATAATTTGCATTATGTGGTTGTAAAGATCGAATTCAGAAAGATATGCGAGTTATGGTGAATGCTTGGTGCAATTGGATTCAAAAAGTTTAAAGGCTGCAATAAAAATCTTCCTTGCTTCTTGAGCATTAGATATACGTTTGTTTTCCGTTAAAATCAGAAAAAAAGAAACTTCCTTTGACCACGAGTACGCTCAAAATTTATGCCTACCACATGATCGCACACTAAACATTGGTAACCTGCTTGAGGATGTAGAACCAAACGTTCGAGTGTCATTATTATGTGAAACAGTAATCTTTAATGTAACAAATAATTTATTTTCATTTCATCAAACAAGAAACAACAACAATTTATAAATATTAAACGATCATTGGTTTTGCCGAACGCGTTCAAGCGGTATCCGACGGCATACTACGAATGATATCCGAATCACCAGGGTCTGTTATCGACATTGTGCACACTCGGAATAATTTACCGCAAGCTGTTCCCAGCTCAATGTTATTACCGTTGTAGTGATGCACACCGGTTTTGGCTAACATCGCGTAGTATTCAATTTCACTTTTTCTGCAAATGAATGCATTATTGAAAAGGCACTGAAAGCAATTGAACAGGTCAGGTGAGTAATTCACTGAGCAAAAAACAAGTGTGACACACCTCAGTGGAGGTGTATTATTGGCGATTATAACAAGTTTTGCTTTGCCAGCCCGCAACGTCTTCAATGTTTGTTTGTAACCCAAGCAGAATTTACCGCTTTTCATGACCATTGCTAATCGGGCATTGATGTTTTCCGCTGATTTCTTCTGCAAAACGATTGCAAACTTAATTTCTACACGAAAAAAAATTTATCCCTGTCCTTGGTTGTAGCTTGAAATTTCACCCTAAATTTTGATAGGTTCTGAAAGATTTGGCATTTACCAAAAAACAGATTTGTGCAAAACACATTCAACTGCTCAACTGAAATGAAACATCAGGGAAGGGTGAAAGATTACAACGAAAACAAAACCGATAAGGACATGCAACCGATGGTGTTTGTTCATCATGTAAAAACTCCTTCACATTAAAACAAGCTCCGGCGCACTGTCCATCTCAGCCTGTGTTAATCTACTCCAGAGTTTTCACAAACCTGCTTCTTAACAGCCATTGCTAATCGTTTCGCTTACGCTGAGATGTGAGTGTCCAAGAATCCTATAAAAACAACTCATCTTTGAAAAAAGTTCAACAATTGGACGCGTCAAAGCAATGCGAGTCATCATCGTTCAAGACTTTCAGGTAATTTTTCAAAGGATCAATGAAATCTGGACATTAGCGGCGTTTTTAGAGAGAAGCGATTTTCGTTAAGAGCAACAGATAACTGATCTGAAACCAAACAATTCATGGTATACATCAAACCGTCTCCACAACCATACTTTTATTAAACCTCAATAAATTCGAAAAACTACTGGAAATGGAAACTACAAAATGCGATAGCAAAATCCGACATATCAGATCAACAGTAATAATAGAACGATAACATAGCCTCGTCCCAATTATGTGACGAACAAAGTCAAAAAAATATTCCCAAATGATTATCGAAATGCCCAATGGCCATTTACACCCTCATCATATGCACTCACTCTCAAAAGAGTAGCAATATGAGCATTGTTCACCTAGAGAGACACGAAATTCAGCGTTGAAAAGACGGTAAATGACACTGCTCATTGCAAAGATGAATCCACTGAAAATCATTCCTCTGTCTAAGACTAAGTTTGAAATTACGATCACAATTGCAACCATACATTAATGGGAAATGTGAATATTCTCAGAGAACGCTCGGGCTGAAGATCATACTGGGTTAAGGGACCTATTAAATAAAGTGATGATTCTGTCATACCACAGTGAGGTTTCTATTAAAAAATCAGGTGTTTCATCGCTATGAGTCCAAACATGAGACGAAATGTAATCCATCGCGGTATTTCACTCCTGCTATATCCACTCGTAATTTATTTTTGGCTTGAATGAGTATTTTCGTCGATTCTCTTATGAGGCATCCTCGAGTAAGGCGTATCATATGTGCCTGTATAGGTACCAGGACATTTGGTATTGTAACGCAACGCAATGGGCTTCAATTCTAGTGTGTTGCGGGAACGGAAAAAGGGTCGGAGACTGGGAGAATCGGGGATGAAATTTTGCAGTCGATGACTCCGATAATCTGGTCGCTCCAAAAAAGTTGGGGACGGGGTCCCCGAAAATCCCCGACCCCCGCAACACACTATTTTATACCCGCTATGGAATAGTTTTTTAGAATATGATTTTGACGTACGTTAACATAAACGTAAACACTTTGAACTGAATCATTCCGAATTTTATTGAACTATATCACACGCAGTTTGCAATCACATCTATTGCACTCGCGCTTAGAATCACAAATATCATTTTGAGATATCATGCATGGATTTCTCATTGGTGATGCACAAACCTTTCATTATTTGCTTTCAGATGAGGTCGTGATTGTCTACTAAAACTGATCAGTTTAATGAGAATTCCAAAAGAGAATGCGAACAAACGGGCATACCAGGCGCGATTATAATATGACGGAATTGTTGTTCGCAAAACTGAAGCGCATTAAAAGTACTGTTTTCACGAGATCCTGAGATCCCACTTTTGAATTGCGATCTCGGCATTTATTCTCTGAAAAACTCCTGGATTTCGAGATATGACAGGACACACCGTTTTATATAATTCATCTTCGATGATTATTGGCATGAGGAATGAAAATAATGATGAGCTCGAATCAACTAATGATGAATCGACGGCAATTGGTTCATCTCAGGATGGGGATGAAAATGATGTCTCATCGTCAAAAAAATAATAAAGCATACGTTATGCCCCTAAAATCTTATACGTTTTAACGCGTATAATAATCCTCAGAATGTGGTTGTGCGAATAAGCGAATGAAAGAAAATTGTTGGCTCGATGAAAACGATTCCATCGACAAACATCAAAAATCAACGAGCTTTCTTTGCATTTTCCTTTTTCTGCACGAAACTGAGAACACGAATAAGCGCTTTGACATTCAACCTTTGAACATTACTCACAGTGTAATTTCTGATTTCAATGAAGTGCACTCCTTGAATGTTCTATTGGATTGTTAATATTTCTTTTGTTTGGTTACAATTTCGATCATCATTTCAACTTGTTAACGATTCAATTTTCACTAATTTTTGTTTTTACGATTCGAAACATGTGTAATACAATTTTGATGAGTTTGAAATTTCAGAGATTTTCAACAAAACAAAAAATGTTCACGAGGAATATTTGTTATTTTCAGACATAAGCATCGGCAATTCGAGTAACAGAGCACACACGTAATAAAATCTATTTCAGCCATATGTAATTCCATAAAAAAATGATCCATTGAAGTTGTTCATAGAAGAAGTTCCAATATTGCCACACAGAATTTGATTGTTGATACGAGATCTGAATTGCACTTCTGTTGTAATGTCGATGCTCTATGTCCGCACTTTAGAATGCTACTATCGCTACAATTCGTTAAATAAACTTTATGAATGCGACGATTCAAAAACAATGCGCTGTGTACATGTGGCGCCTCAGTATATCAAAATCGCTGAATTCTGAGATGATTCCAGGATTGGAAAATGGACGGCATTTTGCAGACACTTATTGAAAGCTTTATCAGAATTGTTCATGGTGCAATGGTGATTTTTGTTTAGGAATTTTGTATTGTGAGAGTTCATTGGATGCAGTCTTTGTCAGTCCTTGTGATGTATTCTTGATCCGAACTCCGCAAAGGTTCTGTCAACGACACTGTTAATATTCTAAATCATCAGCCTAAATTTGCACTAGTAAAAATTACATTGCCTGGAATGAATTAAATCATTTTTCATTGATCACGATGCAAAAGTGTTTCTTCACACGAACTATTCGCATTACGAAGAAACTGTTCGATTAAATTGTGTTCATAAGCTGAGCTTTCATTGTATCTAAGTAGTACTAGCCATTATTATAAAGCTTCCAGCTTTCGATTTCACAGAGTAATACACAGGAATTCGATGCTAATGAGCAACTTTCATGATAAATTTGAATCGAAATACTGCACAACAAAAAACACTGAAAAGACATCTCGTGAGAATTAGAATTATTTCCGAACATTATCTCATCGAAGTAATAATTCAGTAAATTTACTCAACACAGTACTCGATAACATCGCAAACAGCTTCATGCTGCTAACTGCAAAACACAACACAGTCAAAAGTCCGCGAGCATTAAACTCCTCGAAGCGACATATTCGTCAAATTTGTTTCTTTGAATGAAGTCTATATTCTTTATAAAATCATTCTACCGTGAGCAGTTCATGTTCTCTGCTGTAGTCGGCGAGCGGGATTCGGTTGCAAATTGAAATTCCATCAAGTTCTATTACAATACATCTTCGCAAATTCTGCGTCAAAATCAGCGAAAACTTCTGCATTTTTTGATCTAATATGGCCGCTCATTTTCGATTGGTTTAAATGGGTTGCGCAGTTTTAGGTATTTTTATTTGTCTATTATAATTTGCAGTGGGGTGAATGCAATCTGTTGAATACATTGACAAGAACCGCCTCAATGCTCCATAAATATCACCCATCTCCATCCACCGAATGGTCATTTCTTCGCATGAATCTGCATAAGTCACACTGCTGATTAGCCATCATTAAACTTATAGTCAGTGATAACATTTTAAAAATCAAACTGATATCTTCAATTCGTAGGTTACCTCGTGCTTCATCGTCGCATTTCTGATTCAAAAGTAAAACGATTCCATTTGCTCAATAAACTGTCATTCATTCCTTCACTTAATGGTATATCAGTGATAATTCCGTTCCCTCCGGATCGGTAATCATCAGTTCTCCAATGGAACACCCCAGATTCTTTCATTCCCTCTAGCAAGAACATATGAAATTCCAACTGAATAAATTTTCTATCAATGCCTTTACGGTATCCATTATTCCAAAAAAAAATCAAATTGATATTTTTTTTCAGTTTGCTTCATTTCCACCAAGAATATTTTAGGTGAATATCTTAGAAACGATTGGTTTTCCGTTCATCTCGACGATAATTTCTCAAAGTTTCGTCGCATTTTTCGTTTTCATAAATAAATGAACTCGTTGATATAATTCTTTTCTTTTCACCGCTGACGAAAGTTTTTTTCACTACGTTTCGTTGCTAACTGCCGAGGTTCATACTGTTGTTGCAATTGATGAATAGAGTTCTGAAAATAATTGTTTCATTCCAAGAAATCAATTTCTTTCACGCCACTGAGGAATTTACTGATTGTGAGTAAGACTTGTTCTTGGTTCTTTTCTGATGTTTCACGTGAAACTAGTAAATTATTGTAGCGGGAGGGGGGGGGGGGGAGTGATGACGGCCTGCCGTACCATCTAAGGGAGTATTGAAGCATCCGAACGATAGAACCACTGGCCTAGACGATCGATTTTTGAGCAGAATCAGTTCACTGCATGAATTACGTAACCAGCTTGAAGATAGATGCACTAAACTCTCAAACCATTATTCAGTTCTCGAAAAGTTAGTGATAATTCAGTGTTTATGACATTGATTTAAAAAATTGAAGATGCAATGAAGAAACCTAAATGACTAGTGAAATCTATCTAACAGAAGTGAGTACGATATCAGCACTTTGCGCGATCACACTTTGATCACACTTTGCAAATTCAGGAGCACTTCAAAGAAGCAAAACTGGAATAATATTCTGTTGCGATATGATCTATGCGATCAAATATCAGTGGGTGATATGAATTGTGATATTCGTTGAAATTGATCTGTATGTTTGATCGGCATATAAGCAGCAACTGTATTTAAGCAGAGCGTTTTGTAGTAGAATTCATTCCGTGTAACTTTCATTGTGTCGTCTATTAATTGTTTTTAATATCTGCAAGATATTCTGTCGTGATATTGATAACTTTGAGCATTGTGGCCTTCATGACTGACTATTTCTATTTGAATTGCGTTTAGGCTTATTCTCCAGCGATAACATAGGCTAACGTTTAGAAACTGGTTGGAATGGAAAGTGAAATGTACCCGAGTACGTTTCGCAAACCCTAAATTCGATAAAATAAGAAGGTCGAAGATAGTTTTTACGAAACAGTGACTAGAAAATATTTTATATGTGTTCGAATTCTGCGTTTAATCATTATTTTTTGCTGATTTTTATCATTAATTGTTGCAACATACAAATGATAAAAGTGAATTGTTTTCACTTTGCTACTATTAATTTAAAAAAAACTTCTTGTTTATTGTCATTTGTTCGTCTTGTTTTTATCACTGATTGTGAGATGAAACGAGAACGTCGATGAAAATAACAAAAATGTAGGTTTTTATAACATTTTATTGATAACACTTCAACAAAATTAGAGGAACAAATAAACCAGAAAAAAATGAAATATAATGCAGTAAATGATAAAACAATGCAAAAACACTACAAAGGTAACAATTTTCATACAAAATTTTCGCTTGAGTTAATTTGGAAAGCATAACTGCATATGCAGAGCAGAAAAAAGTTGCGGGAAAATTCGTGGAATGAGTAAAAGGTACACATTTTTGCCATATATCTTTTAATACATTTTTTGTCACGTAATTATTTCTGCGAAGAATTCGAATCAAAATGCAACAAATGCTAATGACATGAGAAAATGCATTAACGAATGCATAAGATGTAAGATGAATGCCGAAGCAAATATTGCTATGTACATTTCAATAGAGGAACGCATAAAATGAATGAATGCACATCGAAAAGCGATAATTGTTTTTAAAACACTGTGGTGATATGCTCTCTCAGGTAATGGATTTCACGATGGACTAATCGCTTTTTGTTTGGGAACTGTTCATTGCGATGTTATTAGTAGTTATTTTGTGAACAGATGACGAAACCATGGAGACTGAGTTGCGATGAGGAGAAATAACGAGAAGACTGCTAAAAAACTAAATTCGAGAAAAATTCAGGTCTGAAAGCATTAGGGAGAATCGTTCGTGTACAAGATAGAAACGACAATTTGATAATGGTCCATTAGAAATAACAATCGCGAACAATAAATCCGCAGAGAATAAGATTTCAACTCACATTTTTGGACAAAAAACAACGCCTTCTATGTTGGACAGGAACGAAAGAAAAAAAAATGTGGGCCATAAAATTGTAAAACCAATTTCGAATATCTGTAAATGAAGTAAGGTAAGCACTGCAGAAAGTTATGGGCATCGCTGTTGAAAAAGAATTGAGTCTAAACACAACTGCTGGAAAGTGTTCACTATTAGAATCGTTAAAATGAAGACTTTCATAAATTGCATTGCTTCGAAAAATAAACCAACTAACAAATTTTTTGCTCATTCCACTATACCCAGACGGCATTTNCAATACCAGTTTAGAATATTCAAACTGTTTCATGATTACGGTTGTTGATAGCGTGTTCACTGCCGCTTAAGCAGTTTCTCAAAGTTTGTGATACCTTTTTTACAGTGGTTATCATTTTTTTGAAATGGTCATCATGATGCATCAACTAGTTGGCGTCGCAACGATTCATTTGTCATCTTTCATTAGCCTTACTAAGCGGTGACTAGCAAGTAAACGTTACAGATCACTCATTCGCACCCTATTTCCACATTTATCACCGAAAATCATGAACATTCTTAATTCGGCGAAGTGACTTCTTAAGAAAGTTCATGAAAATTCAAAACCGAATAGTGATTCTACGTTGCAGTTGCTTTCTCATACAAACTGATGATGTTTCACATGACTCATTAATTTCTGTGCTCCAACAACTCATATTTCAATCCATTTTCTTGCATTTCGGTTATTTTCAACGATTAAATACTGGCCATCATTCGTATTGTGAAGCAATGTCTCGGCTTTAATTTACGAAAAAGTTAAAACTGTCTTTCGTCAACACAAACTCAGACACCGCTCATCTGACACACCACAAAATTTCCTCGATAATATCTCAAATATTCCAATTATTTGAACAACACAAACCCTGTCTCTATCGTAAACACACTCGTTCGCATGTCTGCGATGTGCTCTCTGATACTAGCGACGCTCAATGCTCTCTCTTTTTCGTTCTTATGCGGATTTGAGAGGCGCCCATTGTCCAGTTCGTCTCGCTCTCCCAGCCGCGTTGTTGCGAATCGATGAACAAGCGTCAAATTAATGAAGGGATGAACACTGGATTTATTTATGTATTGATTTATAACTTGATTTTTTGGTTATAGTAGCGCTAATTTTTGTGCGGAAAGTTGATATTAGGATTTATTGATGCCTTGGAAAATATTATAATTTATTTACGTTCAGTTTTTTGATGTTGTGCGTTGATTGGAAGTGATTACTCTTCTTTCTGTTCATATCATCCGTTGTAGCGATCTACAGAAGTGTAACCACTTCTCACGTAGAAGTGGCTAAACTCTAGGTTTCATTTCATCCATGCGTTTTTCTGTAGATCGTTACTTTTTAAGTTTTTTTTTGAAATGAAACTCAGCATTTTTATTGCTACGATTTACTTGAATGAAATGCGTCTAACGACGATTTACTTATGAAAATATTAATATCAATTCACGCACGTAGACCATTCGTTCAAACTTGGATTTGATTGAGCATCATGAAATGTAGTTCAGGCTTATCGGAAAGGAATAAAACAACGGTTTTCATCAATGAGCGTCCCTCTGGCAATTGAAGGTATGGATGCGTTGGCGTTAGCTCAAGAGGGTGAACGATTGTGCCGTGAGTACAATTTCAAAGCTGGTAAGATTTCATTTCTCATCAGATTTCTTGCTTTTTTACACATTTTTATACGTGGATTCATTAGCGGTGATATTGATAAAGTAATTGATAAGCGTTCTAGGCATAAAGTATTTGGAACTGGCCCTGGAGAAGAAGATAGATCTTGGTGCAGATAGTGTTGAAGCTGTATCGGCAATATATTCACAGCTTGGTAATGCCTATTTCGGATTGCGCAATTTCCAAAAAGCACTGGAGTATCATCAACTCGATTTGAAAGCTGCCAAGTACACCTCTTTTCATTTTGTTTCATTATTGCACTACTTCGTCCTTGATATGATCGATAACAATTCCGAATAGATGAAATTTTCACCAATAATTTTTGATTGAATCGATGAATGATGCAAGTAATGAATGAATATTTCAGATTTCTGAACGATCGTAATTCATTAGCAAGGGCATATGGCAATATTTCTACTACATATAAGACATTAGGTGATTTTGATAGTGCATATGATAACGCGGTGGTTCATTTGAAGGTGGCTAGAGAGTTGAACGATAAGGTATTTAGTTTTCGTTGGGAATAATGCAAGAAACTGATGTTATCACATTCTGTCACATAATGATAATTAAAATGTTACCATACTTAGGATTCGGAAGCGCGAGCACTGTTCAATATTGGTTCAATATATCAGAGTAGTGCGAAGTCAAGAGTGAAATCCGTCACATTTCACCGCAACCCATCGAGGCCAGTGGCTACTGACAATCGAAACATTACGTCCGATTTACATATGGCCATTGATTGTTATTTGTATGTTACTATTCAACTCTTTCTATTTTTCTGCAAATATACCGATTTTATTACAATTATCAATATTAATTGTTGTTGTGGGTCTATCAATGATGATGTATTATGAACCAGTTTCGGAAAACAGCCCATATTCATCTATTTTTGAGCGCTGATATCAATTACCAAGGTGCCTTACCAATAAAATGATTTAAGCAGATGCGTAACACGAATTTAATTTATGTGAAACTCTAATCCCTGCAAGTATAAATCGTTCTGAGAAGAAGATTTTGTGAATGTACAACTAATTTTTTCCAGACAAAACCTGAAGATTATCGAAGCAATGGATGATCTTGCAGCGTGTGGTCGTACATATGGTAATATCGGTAATAGCTATTATATGCTGGGTGCTTACGAGACTGCAATCGAATATCATAATAAGGTTTGTTTATCTAACACGTTGTGAAAGAATAACAATAAAGTGTGAAAGAAAACTTCAACTGAGTCAAATCGTGATAAAATATGCAATGATCAATATAAGATGCATAATTGATTTTTGGAGTACATCACAGTATTTTAAAATTGGATAAATCGTATTATGTTGTTGCCGTTAAATCATTCTTGTTGATCACGTATTATTTTAATCGTCAATTGATTTATTGATTCAGCGACTCGAAATAGCTCGGCAGTTCGGCGATCGTGCTGCCATGAAGCGCGCTTACACAAATCTTGGTAACGCACATATATTCCTGTCACAGAATGCAAAAGCCCTCGAATATTACAGGTGAATAATTGCATTCCCGTGACTCAACTCATATTCTTAGATTTATCCATTATTTCTATTCGGTGAAGCACAGCTCAGTTGATCATGATTGGTGATTATGTAACAGACATAGCGACGATTCGGAGTGCTTCGTTAAGAAATTCAACAACGGTATAGTAAACGATTTGTATGAGTTGATCGATTGATACGATTAAGTGAATACTTTGTGGATGGATCGACCGAGTAGAGATAAGAAGAACAAAAAGCTTGAAAGTATGCAAAATTGTTCATGGGTATGATTGCATCAAATGTTTTTTGTAGATTGGCACTTTCGATGGCTACTGAATTATGTGATGAGGTTTCTGAAGCGCAGTGTTGTTTCAGCCTTGGCTCTGCGAGCGCTATATCCAAAGATTTTTTAACAGGTTGTTGTCATTAGTTGTATCATTTTTAAAGTGATAGCTATTAATGTTAATAACATTATTGGCATTCGTGCTTCCAAGATGTTGATCTCACCAATATGTTACCCTTTGCTTCTGTTCTGTTCTGGTCGTAATCTGATTTGGAAAAAATTCTGCATCCAGTATATGAAAAAAATACGTGTATTCTTCGTCAAATTGAATGTAAGTGAGGCAATATACTTACTTGAGAGTGCTGATATGAGCATGGTAGAATCGACGATGAAAGGAGCGAAACGAATAAGCAGCAGGGTTTTGATGATTTCAGACGGATGTTTGATTGTATTGTTTGTAAAGACTGCAAGTAACATTCATTATTCATGGTTTTGTTCATTGACGATCATTGATCTGTGATGATGTTCTTTATCTGTGCTTTTTGCGTGTTTATTTATATTTATTTGTAAATCGTGAGTTAATCATTCGATTATCCATTAATTTATTTATTAGATGTTATATTTTGTAGTCGCTCCAAGCGAAAAGGGCATCCGTCTCAGAAATAGTGGTACCACAAAAAAAGGGCAAAGAGTGGAAAGGGCAAATAAATTTGTGATCTTGAACCACAAGAAATTATGTACCGGATCGATTCAGATTAATCTTATTCTCTATATTTTTTTCCAGCTGTTGAATACCACACACGTCATCTGAAGTTAGCACGGAAATTAGGCGATCGTTGTGGAGAGGCACGTGCGTGTTTGGCGCTGGCTGAAGTCTACACTGAGCTAGGACAAATCAAGAAAGCCATCTATTTCTATATATTGAATATCCAACTTTCAGTTGAAGTGAGTTCATCTAATTTCAATTATTCAATCGATTTTACTCGAGTTACCATGGATTTTTAAATTCAATTAGGAATAGAAATTTTGACTTTCTTGTTGAATATTGTTAAAATTCGATCTTGTTGAATATTACGTTATATGGATTATCTGGAATATTATCTGGATTCTCATGTTTAATCATCGCATCTTTTTTTATAAATTGCCTTCCTCTTATCCTCTGCATATCTGCAAACTTATTTCGATTACTGAGCGTGTACGTTTTGATCCCCTGCTGTTTTTAATTCTCGCTACAAATTGATTATGTTTCGGAATAAGCGAATATCGCGTATGCCCACCCCCCCTACTTTCAATTTTGCTCTTTTGAGGCATGGATTATCCGGAAATAATTTGCTGAAAGTTGTTGACATTTGAAACTGTGCTGAAATTGTGTATAAACTTGGGACGAATACTATAGGTTTTGGTATCATTTATTCTCTCATAAAAACAAATTGTCCGTGACGAACAACTAATGTGGTAATGTGCACAGTAATGCATTACCCTAGCGATGTTTTATTGCCTCTATGAATCTACAATTTTTTTGCCCGCGATAATTTCAATGTGGAATCGCTGTTTGTCAATCATTCATTGATAGTGAGTCTAGGCATCGTTTTCCCTCGAGGTTATCTTGTTATTTTTGTTCATCTGATGTGCGTGCCCTAAAGGACTTTCTCAATTTGACGCATTTGAATCTGTCTAGAAATTTATCGATCGCTCATTCTATATTTGGTACTTTTTTCGTCAGTTCTGAAAATACATCTGCTTATATTATTTACCAGTTTCATCATTTTCATGTATTCAGTTCAGAATTTAAAGCTTTTTTGCAGCACTCAAAATTTCCATTTTAGTCTCATTCCAATTCTTAACGCTTATTTCTCATTCAACAAGCGCAGCATTGCAGTGGATTTTTATTTTTTTTGAAACCCATAAACATTCATATCCAGGAATGGCGAGCAGATTAAGTGATGTTGTACACTAGCAGTGCTAATAGACGCATATAGTACCAGCAAAACAACTCAAATAAAAATTACTAATTTTACTCATCACTCGCTCAGCAGTGTTTCAGTGCGAATTATTCTTGATTCATTGACACAACCAATTGCGTTCAACCATCCGTTCACACATTCAATATCGCCATCATTCATTCTTCCTTCAACATTTTACTCACTCAGTCGTTTTCGTTTCATTCCAAAGTATACAACTGCAAACAGCATTAATGTTTTATGCTATTTTGTGTTTCTTATGTAAGTAACTGAAGTGAATTCATTTTTTGGCTAAGTTTGGTGATTTGCAGTTGGTTGATCCATTATTCAAACCTACGAAATTTTCCCACCAGACTAGCAATCGAAGCGCGACATATATTAGACTTATCGCATAGCTGTTCATAGAGGAGGTGCATGATGAATACACGTTCGATGTCCGCTCATGGGGAAATGTTTTGTGGAGCGTTGACTATGCGTGTGAAATCAGTGAATTTTGTTGTTCGACGCTGTTTGTTTCGGTTTGCAACAATATTGCACCGCTCGTGATGTGACTTAATTATTATTGCATTCATACTCACGTTCATCACTCATTCCCATTCAGCAGATAGGTTTTTGAATCTTGCAACACCTACTCACTACGGGATAATTAGTTTTTGTGCTTGTTAATTGCACAACACTTGTTTACTGCAATTAATTCGCTCATATATTGTAGGAAAAAAATTTTTGTACCTACCGCTTTGATCGAGATGAATTCGATAAATAGAAGGTGGTGCAATTGATAGGTATGGACATATTCTACCTATGATGCTGAGTTAGGATAATAGCTCTAAAGTGATAATGAATCGGATATGTGTTAGTTGAGGGTTGGAGCGAATTAGAAAAATCGCTGGAATTGGAACTAGGAAGGTGAAAAAGTTGCCAGAATTGCTGGAAGGCTAGAATCGGAAGAGGTGCACGATAACGAGCAAGCAAGCACCAAAGTCTTTTGGAAATGTTGTGGATGAGATAATTCAAAAAAATGGTTGTTGTTCCTCAGTTGCAAATTTTTTTGCTCGCAATTAAGTCGAGAAAAACATTGATACCGGAAGAGTCAGAGGAAAAGTGAGCTGAAAGATCGAATTCGGAAGGCACATCCTTAGTAGTTGATGGCACATTAGCTAATAATGATTCCACTTGATGCTTTTTGTACTTCTTAATTGCACAACACTGTATGGTGCAATAAAAATGGCAGTTCGTGTTAATCGGATTCGTTCGAGGCAAGCATCAATTGAAAGATGAATTTGTGTTGATGGCTATTGAAGCATAGAGGATTCGTGTCAGTCGAATATTTTCCTTCCATTAAATGTCTCGTCGCTGTATAGATTGAAGAAACTTTCCTCTAAGTTGTGTTATGACAACAAATACGAGCAAATTACTGAGTGTGAAAAAGCTGTTTCTGTGTGAACCTATTTAATTGCTAACCTTATTCTTCAGCTATCCCTTAATCCACTCCGTCTCGAACATCTATCCATCCCATTTTATTATCTCACCGATTGTATCTATTCATCTCTGCCCGAATGTAACTTGTTCTTCGATGGTCTGTTCACCTTCTTCCACCTTGTCTTCCTTCATCGGGATATCATTCTGTTGTTTGATGTTTGCCGATAGTGAAGTGATTGAGCTGAAATGAATATAGTGCTTGTTACAGCTCATATGACATACCCTTAACAGCATCTCCCTTTACGACATTCTTTAGGTTATAATCTTAGGTAAAGTGAAAATTGATGGTGATCATTCGTGATAATTGTCTAAAGAAACATCTCTGGCATTAATTTTTTTCATAACCTATAGATTATTTTACATTTGTATTTACATTTATAGCAAGGAAAGTGCTTTTTTTTTGCAGATCTTACTGATCAGTTTAGGTTTGAACGTAATATTGAAATTATATGAGTGCTGAATTGAAGTTGATAGCGAATGTAAACAGTTACCTGAAGATACACGCATCGATATCGAGTTGCTTCAATTCCATAAGCATCTTCTGTTCGAAACAGTCACTTTTATCCTGTTGCGCTGCGTGCCCCCTTTAATCGTGCGAATATCGCCATTCCTTCCCACTCATCAATCTAAGCGATATATCATAGGATAAAGAAATTTGACATCTGAATTTCGTCGAGCTATCAAAGGAATATTTTCTTTGTGATGAAATTCAAATTTCGATATTTATCATCATTTTTATTAGGAAAAAGAACGAATGAAATACTGCGTTGTTCGCACTGTTATTTTTCTTTACTCATGAGTGAAGCACAGCTGTAATTCTCATGTCCTTCTATCCATAAGTCAATCAGGATTTGCATCCACATTTATGGATGCCTTCAAAGAAAACGTCATAGTGAATGATCATGTTCTATCTTGCTGACATTGTGCACTTATTCACGCATCGTTAAGAACATTTCTAAAAGTTCTTAATTTTGATTGACTTCCTTCATTAGGCTCACTTCAGCTTGTTCCACTTCTAATACACATCTAAGCAATACTCATCTCACAACTGACAACAATCTGCTGATATCATTTTTATCGATACTCATTCTCTCACCCTCATCGTATCCTCTTTCTCTTCTGTCCTATTCGACAACAATACCAAAAATTTATTCGACTCACTCTTGTCGAGATTCGAGTCAACTTGATTTCGTATGCATGAGTGTGCATCGTGATCATCATTGTCATTATTCATTTCGTATTCATCGCAGTATTTGCTAAATACTCAATCGGATGTTTCCGTTCGAGAGAACAAGAGAAACAAACTAATTAACGAGATGATGGGTACGTTGTTTATGAAGGCAATTCAACATTTGGATTAGATCATTTGAATGATGTGATTCGCTCTTTTAGGAGCATGCTGATGATATCGCTTTCATTTCATCTTGTTTTGAGGTTCACGTTGTATGTATTTCGCTGAGTTTAGTTAGTGAGACGGTATTGTGATTGTTAATTGGAAATAGTTAAACGATATTCTGATTGTTGACTGAAGACGATTTTCTGATTTTTTAATTGGAAACGTTTAGACGACATTGTGGTTGTCGATTTAAAAAAGTAATTATTATGGTTCCAATATGGAGTGTGTTTTCAGTAGACTTCAGTTCTCGTATAATCATGAAGTATGAATATTTTGAATGAAGTATGGATATTTTAGGTTGGTGATCACTCAAGTGAAGTAAATACTCGTTTAGCAGTGAGTGATATGATAAAGAATATCAACGCGGCAAACGATGATAATAATGATACTGTGAATGACGAAGGTGCAGCAACTGATAATAATGACAGTGATGACATCAGTAAAAGGTCATGTGCGCCATCAGTATCTTCGACCCGCAAAGAGTGTCATTTGGATGATATTATCGATTCATCCGGTGATCCGTCGCCGCAACCTTTGAATCGTCTTTCAGTTTCATTACAGTCTTTGTTGTTCACTGATCGAAATACGAATAATGATTGCGGCTTATCAAGGAATACAGCTATAAATACATCAACTTCTACACTCAACGACTTGGTATTATTTATTCTCTAAATTTTATTTTCTGATTTAGTGTAGTTAACATGCTCAAACATATCATACTCAAACATTTCTTCCTATCGCCAAAGTTAGAACAATTTCGGAGTGTCGACGAAATTGTCATGCATGAAGGAATGCTTTTGACTTAATTATTGATTGCTGACTTAATCATGAAGGATTTAATTGTTTTGCGTGACGATTTGAAAGGTGAATGAAATTCACATTCTATCGCAAGTAATAAAAGTAATTATGCTTTCAGCAAAGGCCATCCGTAATAACTTTAGAAGATGATTTTTTCGATATGTTAACGCGAATGCAGTCCAAAAGGATCAATGAACAGCGTTGTGATCCAAATATTTTGACTGATCTCACCAATCGTTCCAAGGGCATCGCTCGGCAGTCTGACTCTCTTGTGTGCGGTATGTCTTTTTATTATTATTGATACTATTATTGCTGTTTATTTTGATCAGTCTTACTCTCGTTCATTGCTTTCAGTTTATTAAAAAGAATCGGTTGTTATGATTGTTTTCACGATTTCGAAAATGATTTTTATTGAGAACTAAGTGAAAGTGATTAAAAAATCATCGCATAAATAGATAGATGGTGCACATATTTGAATAGAGTTGATGAGGTTCTTTAGTGATTATTGAATCTTTTGTTTAGTAAAGAATGGTGCTACATGATTGAATCAACTAAGATTGAATGAGAAAGGGGTATGAACAGTCGTATATCAGTAATGAGATTACTTAAGACAAATGCTTTCGTTCGCCGTATCAGTAGAAATCCTATTATAGTTAATTCAGTTTGAATTGATTTTGAAAACTATTATACACACGTCTCATAGACTGGAATTTTTTGATATCTTCGTATTGCATCCATCAAGAAATGATCATTGTCGTTATGCAGATGAGAAAGATAACTGAGAATTCAATCCTTGGGTTCAATTCAATCTTAACTGAGAATTCAACACAGCCCACATTCAAACCAATCAACCCATATACAGATAGCTATCTGTATATGGGTTGATTGGTTTGAATGTGTGCTGTGTATAATTCTTTTCTAGGTTTTTAGGAGATTTATATAATTCGTTTTTTAATTTGTTCGACTATTTATTGCTTTAATAATAATTTTCGTTCTAGTTTCTTTTATACATTTTTTCGCTTTTTGTTTTCCTCATTCTTTCGCAATTATTGCGAACAGTTTTAGAATGCTTATTTGATGACAATGATTAATTGGTTGGGCTTCGTGATTGATTTTCAACTTGTATTTTTCTTCTATGGTTTATTGTTTGGTGATTTAGTGTTATCAAGTTTGTGGTGGTGGTGTGCTAATGATTATGGTCCGGTTCGTTCGAAAGTAGATGATTAGTGTCTTATTTTACATTTGAAAATGTGATAATGCATTATAATTTGCTGAAAGTCAGTGTGCATGAAGATAATTGATGAGGACGAGTGTAGTTCACATGAGCATAGAAGGAAGTAGATTATTATTGTGTTTTGTGGTGATGTGATATGCTATAAATAAGTGTTGTGTTGTGCTTGAATGAATAATATTTTCTAAAAAGCCTTAGGTGCAGAAGACAGCACAGAACGTCAGAAAACGAGGAATCGTTTATCGGTAATATTCGGACGAGTCAGTGAAGCAGCACGTCATACACTACGGCAAAAAAACCACAATTCTGCTAATCAGACTAAGCGAAGCAAGCATCGTCAACGAACGTTGTCTGCATCATCAAGAGTCATGCTCTTCGATCCGACAAAGACGTCCACTCCACGCTTAGTACTTGCACCATTCAGCAATGAAAATCATGCCGCTAATGGTGACGACTTCTTCATGAACTCGAATGTTAGTGCAAATGATTCCATGAATACAACCGCTCTTCATAGTCACTCGTTCGTACTAACTCCCGTCACCAAAAAGGATTTCAAACTGAAGTCGTCATCGACGAAATTATCACGCAGTTTCGAAGACAACTTAGATATATCATCATCATCATCATCTCAATTTGCCACTCATAAAAGCACTTCGGAAATACGAACGGACCTTCATCAAAACCAAACTCGTTTTTCTAAATCACGTGAATCTGAGCAATCAGAAGCAGCAAATACGGTCACCTCAACCAGTGAGCCCAACACGGGATCAAAGGAAATTCTATTTCGAAGGCCTTTATTGCCACCAGCAAGAAAACGAGACCAACGCATTCAAAATGTGTCAGGCATGAATGTCTCTTCATTTAATCGCTCCACAACTCAATCGCATAACACCCCATCTGTACCTAATAAACGTCGCAGTCAGTTTTCTTTGCATATTTATTTATTGATTTATGTTACTTGCCTATTTTTCAGTTATTTTCTTTCGTTTCCAATTTTTTCGTTTGTTTGCGCGCTAATTTTCCATCCAATTTAATTGATGTTTCAGTAACGGGAATTCTTCGAGTTTTGTTTACTTATCAACCAATATTTCATATTATGCTGTTATTTAGTTTCGTTTGCTAATTAAATTTTCCTTATGAATTGTGTGCATGCTCCAGTGTTGCAGTATTTTATAAACTATATGATTACTTTCTTGTTTCACTAACACTTCTAAGGTGTGTAGTTCATCTTGTTGTGAGGAGTAGTTGTAAGCTAAAGAATTCCATGTTTCATTCTTGAATACCATTCAGTAGATTTGTTCGTTTTCAGCATCATTAATTCTGAACAAAATGTCGCGTTCTTTTTCGATTAAGCGAATAAATGAATATGTATGAATTTTTTACAGCGACTTTACTTACTTACTCTTGTTGTCGGTCTAAGCTTCAGTGTTATTTTCCAATTTCAACGAGAAGCTTGCCTGCTTTATCTTCTCATTCAAGTTGAATTCATTTGCGCACTAAACATATGTATCCGTATCAGAAATGTGCAATAATTATGCAATACCAAACAATCGGAACTATGAATGATTAATGATGTGTTTAGTAGAATAACAAAGAGATTTCATTGAATAAGAAATGAAATTCTTTTAGAAAAGCACTTGAATGTCAGTGACGAATTTAAAATGCGTGCTTTCAATCAAGTATTAATGAGAATTTAAGATGGTGCCGAAGATATGCTGGATTTGATAGAGAGTCTTCAAGGACGTCGTATGGAAGAACAACGAGCACATCTGAGTGTCAATGCTGAATCTGTTTCGGTATCTGAAAGTGGCACCGACGAACCGAAAGAAACCAGGTTCGACTCCGTTCGCTATCAGTATTCTTAGTTCTCTGTTTACAAATGCGTTTTAGTGTTGTGAATAATGAAACAATATCACTAGCGGATGATTTCAGAGAAAAGATGATAAGAATGTTTCAGTGATGAAATAAGAAAGAGTGAACGGTCGAAATCGGAAGATGCACATAGTCTTTATGAGATGTTGTTACGAAGTCAAAGCGATCGAATCAATGAGCAACGCAGCGAATTGCCGAATACGATCCCTGATGAAGATATCTCACAAATTGTTATAACGATGCAAAAAGGACGAATTGAAACACAACGAGCTCAGCTGAAACCGACATCTGAATGATAATAATGCGCGAAGCAGCGTCAACAATCAGCCTTAATTCAGCAACAAATTTCAGTCGTGAGCTAGCTCAAGCTTATTTTTATGGTTGTGTCGGCATTCAGCTTACGTTTTAATTATTATCGTTTTGAATGATGTTCTCAAAATGTATCGACCCTGAATAAAATTCAACACCAGATCGGCGCCGTACGACTTTATTCGATCGCTAATTCATGAAGTCGTTCAATTCGTCTGCATCAATTAGCGATCAAATAAACTCGTATGAATTGATGTCGCAGTATGTCATTGCGTAACCGTGTAACGCTTGAAACGATAATGACTCATTGTGTTTCATTCTTGAGGATAATTTTGTACATGCTTTTTTGTTGATTTGATATTAGCAGGATAGTCTCATGCGCCCTCGGTTTTAGAGAGATATTCCTTCCTTATATGCTCTACCCATCAAATTTTTCATCATTTTTGCATCGGTTTCCGTTTTAATATAATTATTTTCAGTATTATTGGTTCGTTCAATACAATAAATTGTAGCGCTAATTTTGAAAAGTTCTCGAGAAATGCGAAAATTTCACTCAGGTGCTTTCAAGACCTGTTTTCATATTCAAAATAAGCATCAAAAATTGAGTTGAACGAGAAGGGAACGATACCGCATGTTCTCATGTAATTTTACATATTAGTGAATTATTCAAACCCTCTATGTGATTTCATCAGTCGTTCATGTCTGAATTCATATTAATTCTCTGAAATTTGATCTTGAATCATATTTTGTTCATTAGCGTTCATCCGAATGACGATTAAGTATAATATTTTAATTTGGATTTGTTTTTTCTGTTTGTGTAGGAATAATGTAATGCATCATATTTGTAAAGAAGAGAAGTAAATTTGTCGTTTTGTCTATTGAATTAATCCTTAGAGCCCACCACTATGTAATTGCTGGCAACATCGAGTTTTGTTGATGATTGCGAAATGAGTTTGAATATGTTCATAGGATGATTATTTTGATGAGTTCGTTGTATTGTATATCGATCACTTTGTTTTTTAATGAACGTGTCTGTGTGTTGTGTGACTCGAATGCTTACAGTGAGATGGATCTTAAAATAAAATTTCGGTTTTCAGTTGACTTACCGATTGTAATAAATTTTTACTTGATAATAGCAAAGTAATCTTATATGTCCTCGGCTTTAGGGAGATATTACTTCTTTATATGTTCCATTAGTCCAAATTTTCACCATTTATGCATCATTTTCTATGTTTTTATTGTTGTTATTTTCATCGTTATTGGATCGTTCAATTCAATAAATTGTATCATTGATTTTGAGTGGTTATCGAGAAAAGCGAAAATTTCACTCTTTTGATTTGAAGAGCTTTTTTCAGATTCATTTACTTAAGCATACCATTCGATCGTAAGAATCAGATACCTAACTAAATGGATAAAATTTTCACGAAGTTCCAAATTCTTAATTTTATTGCATTAGTGTGATGGCCGAAGGTACTGCTGAAATTGTAAAGGATACTTGAATGAACCTCACGGTCATTCTTCTGAAAAAAAGTTCCTGAATGTGACATGCATTCCGAATGTCTCAATCTTAAGTGTTCGTTTTTATTGCATTCTGGTCGTCGAGGGATGATGAGAAGAGTTGATGATAGCGATGATTAAAATATATTTTGGTATGGGAATGCACGTGATACTGAAATAATTAGGCAACATTTGTCAGATATAACGCGATCGCTGTTACCAACAATACAGATAGAAGTCATCGTCAGTATGGCTCATCATAAATAGCCGTCATGGTGATCACATCAAGAGCGAAATGAACATCGTCTGTTTGTTCATCACAACAAACAAATGGCAGTGTGCATCAAACGGACAGTGAAAACAAAACGTGAATCCCGTGAACAGTGCGAAATTTAATCGACAATCTTATCCCGTCCTTGGAAGGCGAATGTTTTAATGACCATTTTTGGTGAACTTAGACCCTTTGGATTGACGACTTCTGAAAAAAGTTCTCCGATAAATTCCAGCTGAGGAAGTATTCTGAGGGGTACATATTCGCCATATATCATCGTTTTCCTTGACCGGAATAGTGGTGGCAATCAGACGAAATTTCAGATCGGTCGGAATCCGTCCGAATCAACATTCCAACATTAGGAATTCCGATCGACTTTCAGAATTCTTCCTTCAGAATCCGATGGAATCGACTTTTCAACACTCTGATATTCGGAATTCCGATCGAATTTTAAAATTGTCCGGTCGGAGTCGGAACCTCGGAATGTTACGAACACAATTTTGATTTTATAGAATTCATTCCACCAATTCAATATTTTGCACCAACAAAATCTTACAAAATATTGCTATGTTAATAAAAGTTGCCAGCACTGTAACGACTATACGCAATTGTCGTTAATCTTTTAATCTCAAACTTGGGTAATTAAACCATAGCCATAGCATTCATAGGAAAATATAATCGATAATGATAACGACGTAAACAACGACATTCATAATGACGACAGTGTTATACTAACAGTAATAATAACTTTATTAATGATAACAACACCTCGCGATAATATCTCTTAAATTCAAAATTTCCAATTACTTATTACTGATTTCGAATTAATCTTAACTGTTATCAATATTTTGATCTTAACTATTAATATCATTAGTCATCTTAACTATTAGTAATAAATATAACTTAACTATTAGTAATACGGCTTACAATAATCTACAACGATACAGATAAACCGTACAGAACAAGAAATGTGGGATGAATGATTCGCCATTCTTGCTTTCGATATTCACATTCTCATGTTGTTCTTATTCGTTTCTATTAATAATCCTTACGATGGCTTATATTTGATGCCCTTCTTATCACATTTCCTATCTAGCCTTTGTTCAGTCTCCTTAGATTCTTATGGTAACGTTGTAAATTCATGAATCATTTTCTTTTCGTATCTTAAACTCTTTTCCTTTTCGTGATTATCTAATCACGACAAGCACTGATGGCACAGTGAAATGCCATGCAGTAAAATGGCATTTCGCTGTGCCATCAAGGCTGGCAATGCCATTTATACTATATCCTTCAATCGTCCGTTGTCTTGCATGTCTCTCTAACACCACTAGCGAGCACATGTTGTTTTGCATGGCACTAACCCGTAATTGGATATAAGGGCTGAAATTACGGGTAACAACATTAAGTGTGATCGTGAATGTTGGACAGGTGAGTGATTATATGGCTTGCTGGCCCATACATCTCCCAGATGATGTCCAACATTCGAACATTGAATGTCTTTATCTATCGATTTCTTCAACTTTCTGAATATCAAATGAAATGTTGCCGTCCTTCACGGAAGAAGTGTAACACTGGTTGGAGATACGTTCATTGGCGATCGGAATAAAAGAAATTGTCAGAAATTGAACGAAGAGACTGGTATCAGAAAACACAAAATCAATTTTCTGAAACAGATGAAAAAACTGTTCTTGACGAATTCAGCATCTAATTGAAGTAGGAATTATCGAACATTTTAAAACTTATAAGTCTTAAAATACAAGCGACAAGTAAATTGGATCTTATTTCCACAAATTAACTGCTCGGTCACATTGACGATTAATTGTTATGATTTGCTAATCTAACAAAATGAATATAAACGGATCACAAAATTTGTTGAGAAACTGAATTCAAGTTCATGTTCAATGAAAATGTGAAACGAAACGTGCTTCAATGTCCAATTTTTGTATAAGTAGATCCGCATCTGAAAGAGCAGAGCGCAAGCCACTTCCAATCATACCAACAGCCTAGTTTTCAGGAGTAACAGAATGGAAATATTATAAAGAAACTACAAAATACTTGTGATTACTTCAACATGACTTTTGTTAAGCCCTGCGTGAGCTGAAGAATCTCAGAAAACTGGAGAAAGGAAGGAATTTTACCATGATGGAACTGCGTTTAGGTAATCTTGTGAAGAAAATCATCACAATGACGTCCTATAATAACATAACAACTTCACGAAATAATTCCATGAAATATTAATTTTTAGAAAGACTGGAACGTACATCACTTATTTATACGTAGCTGAATTACAGACACTCAGTACAGTGGATGTGAGATTCATTTACTGATCTATTTATTTAACCAGTAATTCCAGCTTATTACGAGTTCATGTCTCCCTGTTATCACAAATATCAGAAATATCACATCCTTCCTTCCTCGATATCCTGCTTTGATATGAGATGCAGTGTAGGTATTGTGAGAGGTACGAGGACATTTTGAAATTTTTTAGGGTGCAGGGGTAAAATAGGTTGAGAACCACTGCTATACGGCAATCATGAGGACCATTTTCAAACTTCCTGTGTGCTCAAGTTTGTGTGACAACACCGCTACTTCTTTTTAATATCTGATTCAGCGAATTCTCAGTTTTCGGAATAGTGGCATCTTGTCGAGAGATATTCTTCATTTCAAGAGATTAGACTGATTTTCTGAAGATATTTCAAGTGCTTGAATCATTCTATAATGCCGTCAAACCGTGCACATTTGATTTCTGTAGCGTGATCAATGATAGTTTATAAAGCCATATCACGTGTACCATTTTCAGAATACCTGTATCCTCAGATTTACTCAGCACCTTCTGGTACCTTCAAATTCAGCAGATTCTCGGCCTTCTGACTGTCATACATGTTTTCGAGAGATTATGCCAATTTCAATAGATTTTACTGACCTACTCTAGATATGTCAAGCTACTTCAACCATTCCATAATGCTGTCAAACTGTGCACATTAGATCTCTGTGGTGTGATCAGTGATACTTTCTAAAGGCATATCATGCGTACCGTTTTCAGAATATCTGTAATCTCATGTTTGCTTAGCAACTCGCGAGTTGTTTTCAAAATCGGTTTCGACAAATTCTCTGCTTTCAGAGATGTATGTGTTGTCGAGCCATTTTGCATTCTTCCCTCAGATACAACTCATTTAAGTTAGATATGTCATACAGCTAAGCAATTTCATGGCTATACAT